GGATTCCATAAAACAGCACCGGGTTTAGCTTTTTGTAAGGTAATATTCCGTGAACAAAACTGCGGTAATCATCGAAATCAGTCATATCTGATGGTCCTTACTCCCTAAGTCCCTGTACCAGCCGTTATTATTGTCCCATAATTCATATTACAACAAATTAACATGTCAGAGGTTTTTCACTCCTTTATGGCCTATGCTAAGCTTTTAAACCAAATAAGAGAGATGTTCAACAGCTTCTGAACGTCATCCTATCAGCTCTCTAGTCTCCTCCTTAATGGGTTAACAGAACAAAAACATGGGGGCATTTTGATAGCTTCAACATCTCTTTTATACAAGGGGAGGTATTGACATCTTTTTTTAACACATTCCGGGAGGTTTTTATAATTCTCCCTTTAAAACTCATTTGCTGGCTTAGATTGCAAACGGATTCTATTCAATTTGGATATATCTGCATGCAATTACTAATGAGTCTGGTTTTTACATAAAAAAATATATATATAAATTTTATAATAAAATAAAAAAAAATAGAGTTTAAAATTGTAGTTTTACTTTTGAGCGATTTAAAAAATAAATCAATTTTAGAAAAAAAAATAAGAAGGGTCTGAAGCAGTGATTGATATGAAGAGAAATTTTAAAAAATAAACATTTTGGTCAAAAATAACTGTATGGATATTCTAACAGGGAGTCTACTTGCAACAAGAGCCGTACATGGGCCAGGTTTGAACATGGCTTATGCCAAAAATCTAATAGGCCCAGCCCAAAGCCTGAAACAATGTAAAATTGAGTCCAAAGTTATATATATATAATTATGTATGCAACATTTACATATATACATATATATGTATAAATGTATATAGTTGAGTCGAACTCAAGCTACCTAAGGGCTAGGCCTGAGCCCGAGCCGACTCGCAGTACAATTACATAGTGCATAAACGTTTTCTCAAAAATTACAAAGAAAAACCAAAAGTTGAAAAAACGCAAGGAAACCAAACACTTTCATTATCGTTCAGTCAAATCCTTTTATTGTGTGAAAATAAAAAGCATGGCAAGATATTACATTGAACATGCGGTAAGAGGATGCAAACTATGTAATTGCATGGAAAATTTTTGGTCATTGGCGTTTGGGGGGGCTTTTTGGAAATTTGACCTATGTGTTTTGAAAAATCCATTTTTATCAGGCTTTTTAAAAAGAAAAAACCTTTTTTATTGATCGACTGGTCACCAATTTTTTTCTTTAGAATAGCCTCTTGCAAACATGAAAAGTCAAATGTAGTTTTTTTCTGATTTTTCAAACTGGATATCTTGAATTTAGTATTGTGAAGACAGAAAATGTAAATTAAACCACTATATGGACATTTAATAGATTACAGAGGTGTTTTCCATTTTCAAACTCCACCCAAAAATCCAAAGAAGGGAGACTCTTACCAAAGGTGAAGCACAAACTTTAGATTGACTCTGAACAAGATCACCTTTGTTTTGCACTCCTAATTGAATTGCTACAATTTGTTCAAACAACATCAACATTTAATCTCTCACAATTGTATCCCCTACTCCAGCATACACCATGCAGTGGATCTCAAATCCTATTGATGCCAATTCACCATGGTGATGTGGAATTCCAGCTCCCCCAGAACAAACTTGGACCATTTTCGGACTTCAATGAGAAACCAGAGTCTCCAAAAAATGCAGTCCATCAAATTCCAGTGCAAAGCGGGTTCTGTTACTCTGCAACTTAGAAGGTTCATCAAGCGGCGAGATTTTCTCTTTTTCCTTCTCCTCTGAATATGTCGCCATTCTTAAAGAGGTCCTTCCCTCTGTTGTGATCTCTGTTTTTGAAATCTCTTCCATCGCCCATCCCTTGCTCCTACTCTGCAAGATCACAGATCC